CTCTCTCTCTCTCTCTCTCTCTCTCTCTCTCTCTCTCTCTCTCCGCCGGCCTGCTCGCTAGCACGTCGGCTTGGTCCGAACGACTGAGCATACGCGCGCGCCGCGCGTTTCCGTTTTTGCACCCACGTCGCTTCGCAGCTCCGCCCGATGCCACCCCGCCCGCTTCCGTTTTTGCGCCAGGGCCGCCCAGCCATTCCTTGCGTCCCCCTTCACGCCAGCCGCAGGCCCGCGGCCAATTTCGTCGGCGCCCCCACCTCGGTTTTCTGTCCCAACCCGGTTCCCGCCCTGTCCCCGCCTCCTGCCGGTACTGCCCTGGGCCTCTCCTCCGCTGAGGCCTGGACCCCGCCTCGAAATTTGCAGTCCCACTGCCCGTTTCCGGCCTCCTCCCAGTGCCACCCGCCTCCCAAGAAATTCGCTGGGCCCGCGACGGGGCATGTCGCCGGGCCCTCTCCATCCTGTAGTATGTATAGAGATAGAGAAGGGACGCTGGACCTGTTTTCCAGCAGGTGATGCTCCCCACCAATAGATGGAGCCTCTCCCCAGGTGCTAGTGGTGGCTGCTCTTATCAGTACTGCTAGCACTGAAGGGGTTGTTTTATAATTAAAAAAAAAAAAGACTCACAAGTGGCATTAAGGAGGTCGTGGGTTCAATCCCCGTTGGCCTCATGTACCTTCCTTCCTTGGCAAGCTTGGCGCTGGCCGCCTAGAGATAGGCCGTTGGTTCCCCCGAGCGGAGCGGCGTTGACCAGAGGCTGCTGATGTTCGTAGGGGGAGGGGCCCACCAGAGTGGAGGCACAGGGATTGGTCCTGTTGGCATGGTCCCTGATGCCACCGGCTGTTCCCTGGCCGGTATCCCCAACCTGTAGGTCGGGAGCAGCCCCCACATGTTCTCTCGTGAACACGGTTCTGGCTGCGTCGGGGTTCGCCGTATGCCTACAATTAGTAGTAGTGGTAGGTAGGTAGTGTGAGGTGAAAGTGAGAGAAGAATATAGCTTAAAAAATAATAATAATAAAAAATGGTAAACTCGTCCGGACCACCGTCCGGACGGTCTGGATTCAGTCCGGAATCCAGACGTCCGGTCCGGAAGGTCCGGATCTGGCAAATTTCAAGGAAAAAAAAAAAGAAAAAAAAAAAAGAAAAAAAAAAAACGGTCCAGGACCCTTCCCCATTGAGGAGCCAAGCCCCCAAAATTGTTTTGGGGTTTTTTCAGGCCCGTTTATGCTTTTTTGGGGGGTCCGGACATGCTCTCTCTCTATAGTAATTTACTAGACAACCCCAATTTTTTAATTATTAATAATTCATTACCTTTTATTAGTTTTTGAAGTCTTTTTTTAAGCTTTTTATCGTTTTTGACTTTTAACTAAAGTTTGGTTAGGAATTCTGACATGACTCTGAGGCCAAAGTGGTTTGCATTGTTATTCTGCATAACATACTTTTTTTTCAGATTTTTTATTTTTATTTTTTTAATGGTCCAGACATTTCCGGACCTGTCCAGACTTCCGGACCGTCCGGATCCCCCCATGTCCGGAGGTCCGGAAATGTCCAGAATTCTGGACGTCCGGAAAGAACCAGACACGGGTCCGGTTCCATGTCCGGAAATGTCCGTGCTACATGCTGCGCCTGCACAGGAGGGCCATTTTCCAGGCCCTGCGTCGTTCAGGCTGGAAGCCTGAATTTCGGACTCAAGGCCTGGAAATAAGGGTCTGCAGACCCCATGACGGTTCACCCCAAAAGCCTGACATCCGGGGCCCACAGGCCCTGCATCGTTTCAGCCAAAAAGGCCTGAGCCTTTTCAGCCTGAAACTGAGGGTTATTTCCGGGCCTGCAGACCCCATGACGGTTCAGCCCAAAAGCCTGACATCCGGGGCCCACAGGCCCTGCATCGTTTCAGCCAAAAAAAGGCCTGAGCCTTTTTAGCCTGAAACTGAGGGCTATTTCCGGGCCTACAGGCCCCATGACGGTTCAGCCCAAAAGCCTGACATCCAGGG